GGTCTTGGCCTCCTTCGTGAGAGTTTAGTGCTGTGTCCTGTCCCATGATCTGGACCCTGGGACTATCTGTCTTGGCATCCTAACTGCAGTTTTAATGAGGCAGAGGGCAAAGAGAGACCAAGATCAGAGGGGCTCATTATACCCCTGGCTAGAGAACCCAGCGACTGACATGAAAGCAGCTTGGGGCTGGCTGGACACAGGTGCTAGGCCCAGCTTTTCCAGGCGAAGCTTTCATCACAGAACAGTGCTGTCTCCACCTGGCCATAGATGCTGTGCCCTGATTCGGGCCTGGATAGGCTGTCTGTGTCCTTCCCACTGATATGCCCAAGAATGAGGACCTCCCAACACTTTCACTTCCTCTCCAAGCCTTGATGGGACCTCCCACTTAATTTAGACCTCATGTGCTTTGAAGAAGCTTTGAGAGCCAATGTGGTGTCTTCCATGGGTCTCCTCTCTTTGCTGCAAATAATCAGCCCCATGTGTTCTCTTAAACTGAGAATTGCACCTGGGCAATTCATTTCCTAAGGTGGTCTCTGCTGCTAGTTAAGAACCCAGAGCAGCCCTCTGTGAGGCTTCAGTGGCCTCAGAAACCAGAGGGTCCAGATCGGGGCTTGCTTGGGCCCTCTGCTACCAACTGCTCAGCCCTGCTTTAGCTCCAGCCACTTGTGGCAAACAACCTTGTTTCCTTACAGATTCCAGCATGTGACTTTGGTGCCCTGTTACTTGTGAAAAATCTTGTCTTTGATGTAGTCAAAAACATTCTTGTAGTTAACATAAAAAATATCTGACTCACAAGAAAGCCAACTGTATGTCTTGTGATGGCACAGTTCATAATGTAGTTCCTAGACCACTTTGCAAATTGTTCTTGTCACCAGATGTGTTCAGACATTGCTGTGCAATTGTGGGGGAGGGTAGGGGGAAAGATGAGAGGAGATACTTACTGGTCTTTTTGTTTTATACCTTCCCCAAGAGGGGACAGTCTGGCCAACTTGCTCCAGTAATGCAATAAAGACATTGCAATAAAGTTATTTTTTTTGTCTTCATGCTATGAAGGGGTGGGCTGGGGCAGAGTGGAGGTCAAGAGAGAAGAGGCGTACTCACTCAGGTGTTGAATAGCCCTTGAAACTTTCAAACCTTCTCTCCAGTAAGCAAGCACCAAAAGACCTGGTACTAGGGTTGAACTGGGGCAACGAGAGGCTCTCTTCTTCCTAGGAGAGGACATTGACTCCAGCTAGGATGTCAGAGTCCTGTCCACAGGACACAGGGAGTCTCAAATACTGACTCTGAGAAAACATTCTGAAAGCCACTTCCTCCACACCTCACCACCCACTTGTAATAAGCCCAGTTTATTGGTTCTTATATATTTCTGCCCAGAATTAAGTGTTTCCACATTCTACTCTGGGAAGGGGGAAATGGGCCCAGCTTTACAGTCTGTCGTCTTGTTGCTCCCAGGCCCTTGTCATCTCCTGCACATTGCTGAGGTTCCATTATATTCTGGGAATGTAATGAGCAAACATGATAATCTCTTGTTGCATAGGACATTACAGCTCTCATCCAAGTCTCAAGCCCCACCCATGTGTGCTCAATTACAAACAGATTGAGCAGGGAACAGTCTATTGTTCTAAGTGACCTTGCCTATGTCTTTTCTCCCCACTACATTTTAGATGATACACAGCCAACCCCAAGACCACTGCTAGAACTATGGATGATTTCTCCTAACTCAAGAGTTGTTCCTACTTCGGTGTTTAGGATGCTCAAATTCCTTTCTTCTTCTCAGTTCTTTCTTCTGAACTCTACCTGCCAGCTGGATGTTTCCACTGGGCTCTGAGGTTTATACTTGTTTACTTGGGGCTGGGCATGGTGGCTCACACCTGTAATCCCAGCACTTTGGGAGGCCGAGGTGGTTGGATCACCTGATGTCAGGAGTTCGAGACCAGCCTGGCCAATGCTGTAAAACCCTATCTCTACTAAAAGTACAAAGTTAGCCAGGCATGGTAGCATGCACCTGTAATCCCAGCTACTCGGGAGGCTTGAAGCACAAGAATTGCCTGAATCCGGGATGCACAAGTTACAGTGAGCCGAGGCTGCACCACTGCACTCCAACCTGGGCAACAGAGTGAGACTCCACCTCAAAAAAACAAAACAAAAGAAAAACCTTTTTACTTGGCAGAAAAAGTATGGTTGGCTATGAGTTCCCTTACCTTCCTACCACCAAACCTACAAGCTTATCCATATCTACATAATTATTCTCCCTCCCACCTGTTAAATTACAAAAGTACCCTCCAGCTAAAGTCAATTACTCCGCATGTATTTTGGAATCTATTTTCTTCCACCTCAGGAATCTCTGAAGATTAATGATTGATTCTTTCTCTACTTTAACTGGATCATCCCCATTGACATCTAAACATGGTTGTTTCTCATTCTACTCCCCCAATCCCTACTCAATCATCCCATATCTCTTTATCTCTTTTCTCCTCTTCAAAGCCAAGCCTTTGGAGAGAGCTGTCTAAATGTCCTAATTTCCTCACCTCAAGCATTTCAATACCAGTTCTACCACTGTTTGAAACTGCTTTTCTTGATGTCTTCAATAACCATCACTGTTAACTATCCTCTCCATGGAAAGGTCCTTCATGGACCCTATTAAGACTCAACGTCATATTCTGCTGACATCTGACTGTTCCGTTTACATCTCCTGGATTTCTTCAGCTCTCAAGGCCATTTTATCCAGCAGTTTTATCCACAGCCATGAATCCACCTACCATCTCTAGGCCAATTACATTTATTTCACTTGCCCAGACCTCCACTGGAAGCTACGTCATATTTGGCATATGAAATGCAGCACTGAACTACTCAGCCCTGGTTCTCTTCCTTCTTACTTCAGTGAATGGAAATACAATTTATCTAGTTATGTAAGTCAGAAATGTAGTTAGTCATCCTTGATAGCCTTCTGCTTCATATCATCTACCTAAAGTCCATCACCAAATATCAATCAGAACACCACTTTAACTTCACTACCGTCTGCACCCTTAATCCTAGAAGGCTCCCTTCTTCCATTCTTGTCCCCCTAAAATCCATTCTCATTATAGCAACCTGTCATCTTTTCAAAATACAAATTTGAACCTATGCAAAACGTTACATGAGTCTCCGCTGTCTTAGGGTGAATTACAAAATAAGATGGTCTGGCTTCTCCCTGATTCAGGATCTCATTCCGCATCTTCAACTTCTTTTCACTGGCTCTCTCCCCTCTGCTAGTGCCAGTATCTCGGGCCTTCTTTCTCATTTTGTGCATGTTCCGTGAACAGTCCTCATCTCCTGTGGCTTTTAACTGCCCTCGACTTCCTGATGGCTCCCAAATCTAGGTGTCACAGCTTCCCACCCTTTCCTTCCTTACCTCCTCACTGTTGCTGTCCTAGTTCAGACCACCAAAATGGGTCACTACACGATTCTCTGTGGTGTACTCACTCCACTCTAGCCTTTCTATACTACAGCCAGAGTGGTCTTCCTAAAACAAATGATAATACCACTTAACTCTTCACTACCCTCAGGATAAAACCGCCAGTTTCTCAAGGGGACCACTGACACTTGGGGCAGCTGCCTGATGTGGTACAGGACGTTTGATATTTAGCATCTCTGTACTCCCTCCTCCCACTCCCATTTCCAGCCCTCTCGGAGGGCAGTTCCCAACATCCTTTTCACCTGTGGTGCAGTGCTTCTGACCAGATCCCTACATGCATGGGAAACTCACTCCCTCAGCCATGCCCCTGTCATCTTCCAGCTCACAACCTGTGACCTGTCTGCCCAGGTCCCAGTACATTAGCCCAGGGTCTGCTGTGAATGAATGAAGAAGTGAAGAGAGGACTAGAAGGATGAGGGGCCAAACAGCAGGATAGGCTCTGCCACTGTGGATATGGCTCGCCCTCTGGTGGCCACAGCCTTCACAGACAATGGCCCAGAGGCATTTTCATCTCCAGGCCTCCTAGCGCCTCTTCTTCAGACCTAGGGACTGGATTGTGAGATGATCAGCGCAATAACCAGTGCAAGACAGTTTCTCAAGTCCTCCTTCACTATGGAGACACTCAAAGTCTTGGTACTCCACCAAGCCCCACTGCCTGCCCTGTGATGCCACCTCCTGACTGCCCTGGCACTGGTCCCATTTATGTCTTCCCCTTCCTCCTACACTATCCATCAAATGAAATTCTACTCAGGGATGCACACGATGTCCACCGCTAGTGCTGAGGCCTACGTGCAACAGCCCAGGGAGGGCTTATTACTAAATACAATTGGCAGCTTTCTGTTTTCATCTCACCCTCATCCCTGCATTTTATCAAGTAACTTCTCCATTTTATCAAAACTCTTTCCTCCCGTGGACTTTATGACTCTCTTCTGGCTGCTGCTTCTGTCTTCTTTCTCTTATATCTCAAATACACCCAAAGTTAAACTGCCTCCTCCCACATCTTCCTCTCCTCATTTCCTGGCTGAGGCACTCCAAGTTAGGAGACACATATAAATTCTGGAACAAGGGAGACCTAGGTTCTAACTCCAGTTCTACCCAAGCTGTATTACCATGGGCATGAAAGCCTGAGTTCCCTTATCAATAAAGGAATTTTAGTTGCTACATGGTATTTTCTGGTTCCCTATCAGCTTCACAAAGTCAAATCTCCTAGATGACCATTAGACATAGCCCTTGCCTCACTTGCCAGACCCATTTCTACTTTGAATTGTCTTTGGTTCCTTGAAAAAGTAGGCATACTTTATGTGCTAAACTTTGTCTGGAGATCCTTTCTTAAGCCAACCTCCACTCTTCCACGCCCAGCGAACTACTACCTATCATCTATTCTTCATGTTTGAGCTCAAATGTCACAGCCTTTGGGAAGTCAAGCTGGGTTAGGTGGCCCTCCCCTGATGGTGGAAACTATTTTATTCACCACTATATTCCCAGCAGCAACAAAGGACCTAGTTACATGTGGTTTGACCAAAGTAAAGCAAGCAAAAGACATAAAGATGGTTTCCAGGAGCATATATTACACAGGTCTGAGTGCAAGAAATGGCAAACAATTGCTATGTTTGCTTTAAAAACTCATCTGGCACCAATGCCAAATCCTGATGCTTTTGATGGCCCCCTGGTTCTTGGCCCCTCCAGAGGAGGCTGGGCTCAGACTCCTGGGTGAGGGGGCAGCCTCGGCATGGAACGTCCTGTCTTCTGTCACCTGAGGCATCAGGCACTTGGGTGATGCTCAGGGCTGGATCCTCTTTCACTACTTGTGCACACTCAGACTCCCATAGCCAGCCTTGGCTGGGATCCTCACAAGGGGGATGGGTCAGTCTGGGGGCACTACGTGGCTGTGTCTTCCCCTGCTCCCTGGGAGACAGGTTCTTAGGGTGGGCTGGAGTTGTGGTTTCCAAATCCTGGAGGTTGGCTAGCCCACCTGCCATGGTTGCCTTTCTGCTTGGGGATGCCCTGTCTGGGCTCTCAATATGGAATTTCCAGGACCACGTGCCTGGCTTCCCAGAGGTGGAGGTGGGAGGAGAGCGGCTGCTGGAGGGCACGAGTCCTGAAAAGCTGGGAGAAAGTGCTGTTAGTGCCTGGGTATGGAGGCGCTGAACCTTCCAGCAACCTTCAGAAAGGATGGGGTCTGTAGCTCCAGACTTACCCAGGTTGGGGTCTGGTGAGGAGGAGCTCACAGCCTCCTCAACAGTTTGTGGGCTCCCGAGCCTCCTCTGGAGACCACTGGGACCTTCCATTTTGGGAGGCCCCAGTGTAATCCCTGTCAATAGGCCTGGGATCACTGGGCCTGGGCTCCTGGGGACTCTGGATGAGAAAGTATCCTCTTCCCCACTCTCTTCTGCTCCTCTGGGGGCCACACTCTGGCTCACTTCTGGTTGAGGTGCTACACTCAGCTCCTGTGCACCCTGGCTGTTCTCAGGCCCCTCCTCCGTGTCATCCTCTGAGGAGTCCACCTCACGGATGGCTTCTTGCTTCTGCAGTGACTCTCGTCGTTCGGCTCGGTCCTGCCGGAGAGTGCCTAGGGCCCGTGAAGGAGCAGGTTGCAGCAGCACCCCTTTCCCTGGCAGGGCTCCCTTGCCGGAAAGCACACCCCTAGCTCCAACCGCCTCCAGAGGGCTGACTTCCCTAGGCGGCAGTTCCTTCTTTAGCTCAGAGTGGGGCAGGTCAAGGCTGTGCTTGCGAGAAGTGGCTAGCTTCTTCTCGGAAGCGGCCAGTGCTGCTGCCAGTTTCTCGGCTGACTGCACCCTCTTGAGTAGTGGTGAACGGGGTGGCTCCGCACTCTTGGGCCGCGAGAGTTGCCTGCCTAGGGGAGGTGACAAGTGAAGCTTTGTGGGAAGGGCCTGGGCTACATGGCCAGACAGGGGTGATGGGGACCGCTGAGGTGAAGCTGCTGGGGGTGGGGGAGAAGGGGTGTGGGCCAGTGGTGACAGTGGGATGCTGCCTGCTGACTTGCGCCGTGGAGAGCGGTACTGGCGCTGGAGCTTGGGTGCCAGACCGTGGAGGGAGCTAGGCCGTGTATGCCCAGAGCCGGCTGGGGAACTGGGCACGCTGGAGCTGGGGGAGCTGCTCTGTGATGAATTCCCCCCCACTTTGTACAGAGACAGACAGACAGACAGACAGACAGACAAAAGCAGAGCAGTGTTAGCTGTTAGAAGTGACTGAAGGGCAAGACAGGGCTTAGCCCTATGATGTCCCAGAAACCAAGCTACCCACTTTCCCATCAATTAATTCCTCCCCGAGACTGCAGGATCTTTCAGGGGGTGGGCTGAAAGACCAGTTCAGACTGGGATCTGTGAGGAACGTATAGGGCCTAGGAACTTTCCTATTTCTCAGGGGTTGTCTCTGATTTGCAGGGAGCCCTTCATACCTGAATGCACAGCATCGGGGGTCATGCGGTAGGCTTGAGTGGGAGATCGGGGGGAAAGGCTGTGGCTGTGTGTGGGAGAGCCTGGCCCACTCTCCCCTGATGACAAGGAACGGTTAAGGGAAGAAAGGCTGCGGCTGGTGTGGAGCAGGGATGCTTGCTTGGTGATCTTGCGGAACAAGGAACTCCTTTTTCTGCTGTGGCGATAAGGGTCAAAGGCAGTGTCGGTGCAGAGAGCACAGCATACACTGGGCCCAGGGCCAACGCACCTGGCATGTACAGCACTCATGGGGCCCAGAGTAGACCCTCTGGACTGTGCCTGGCTCACCTTTCTTGCCCATCCTTGCCGTGGCTCCTCTTGCTCCTTCGGGCCATCTTGGCCTTGTAGCTGCCCTTCCTAGCTGGCCCCACTTTAATGGATGTGTTCTCCAGGGGAGTTGTTGAAATAGCCACCTTGTTTCCACTCTGGGGAGCACAGCATGAGGCCTAAGCTAAGCTGGAGGCCATATTCTTGCCCCTCCCCATCCCCAATCCTTCCCCGCGGCATGGCTATGCCACAGCTCCAGCTTTTGCCTCTGCACCGGCACATCTGAACTATAGGCCTATATTCTGTCTTCACAGATGAGGAATGGCTCCTATTGGAGCCCGAGTGGTTTAAGGGTGAGAAGGTAGAGAACAGGCTAACCTGTCCCATTCTGCAGCCCTACCTACCCACAGCTCAGAAGGATCCCTGGGCCTAAGAAAGTGAGGGTGCTACCTTGCGGAGAAAACTCTTGTTGTGCCACATTCAAGTTCTGTGTGTACATTCATCTTTTTTTTTTTTTTTTTTTTGAGACGGAGTCTTGCTCTGTTGCCCAGGCTGGAGTGTAGTTGCACGATCTTGGCTCACTGCAACCTCCACCTCCTGGGTTCAAGCGATTCTCCTGCCTCAGCCTCCCAAGTAGCTGGGATTACAGGCACCCGCTGCCATGCCCAGCTAATTTTGTATTTTTAGCAGAGACGGGGTTTCACTGTATTGGCCAGGCTAGTCTTGAACTTCTGACCTCATGATCCACCTGCCTCAGCCTCCCAAAGTGCTGGGATTATAAGCGTGAGCCACCACACCTGGCCTTTTTTTTTTTTTTTTTGAGATGAAGTCTTGCTCTGTCACCCAGGCTGGAATGCAGTGGCACAATCTCGGCTAACTGCAAACTCTGCCTCCTGGGTTCAAGCGATTCTCCTGCCTTGGCCTCCCAAGTAGCTGGGATTACAAGCACCTACCACCACACCTGGCTAATTTTTTGCGTTTTTAGTAGAGACAGAGTTTTGCTATGTTGGCCACACTGGTCTTGAACTCCTAACCTCAGGTGATCTGTCTGCCTCAGCCTCCCAAAGTGCTGGGATTACAGGTGTGAGCCACCACACCCAGCCATTTTTTTTTTAATTTTTATTTTTAGTAGAGGCAGGGTTTCACTATGTTGGCCAGGCTGGTCTCGAACTTCTGGCCTCAAGTAATCCACATGCCTCAGCTTCCCAAAGTGTTGGGATTACAGGTATGAGCCACTGCACCTAGCCTGTGTGTATCTACATCCATAGTGTAGATGTGTGTGCGCCCAACTCACCCACTACCTTACGGCTGTCACAGAGTCACAGGCTGAGGTCATTCAGGGACCATGCAGGCAGCAAACCCAGCACTAACCTTCAGGATCAGCTCCACCACCTCTGTGTGCACCAGCCCATGCACAGTTTCCCCATTGACATGGGTGATGAGGTCACCTTGACGAAGCCCTGCCTCGCTGGCTGGACCTCCGTCCTCCACGTGCTGCACCAGGAAGAGAACAGTACTCACACTGGAGCCTGAACATGAAGTATAGGGCCTGGTTCTGCACATTAAGCTGTGACCCCCTTCACCACCACCCTTTGACCCCCAAGCAGGGACAGATGGGCTCCATGAAGGGGAGGCTGGAAGGGTGATAAAGCTGGGAGACAGCAGCTCTGGATGGTCAGACATACCCACACCATGTGGTGCACGGTGTAGACGTCGGAGTCACCCATGTAGACACGAATGGCCCGCAGGGTGAAGCCATACTTCTTGCCAGCTCGGTGGATGATGATGGGCGGCCTCACACTGCCAAGGGCTGGCAAGAAGTCCCTGCTTGGAGAAGAGTCCCGGGATGATGGGTTGGACGACTGAGAATGTGGGGACATGGGGCTGGCCAACGGGGAGCAGGTGTGGTGTTCTGGAGAAGGAGAAGCCAGGACTTAGTGGGTCAGAGGGCCTTGGCCTGGACATGCTCCCAGTTGGCCCCTGGTCCAGTTTGTTGATTTCAGCACCTCTTGTCACAGACAGAACCTGAGCTCAGGTCCATTTTCCCCACAGCCCCTGACCTGTGAAGTCCTCTCATATCCAGCCCTGAGATGAGGTGAAGAGGCAAGCATTTATGTGTGTATCAGGGACTATACAAGCTCGTCACACATATTTAAATGTCATAATTAACCTATGAGCTGGCCACTATTAAGTCCACATTTTTGGATGAGAAACGTGAGGCTTAGAGGAGTTAAGCAACTGGCTCAAGCTCAAGAGCCCTTTAGTGATGAAGCCAGGATTTGAGTATGAGCTCTTTGCCCCAAAGCCTGTACTCGTGACATGGCGCTATCCTGCCTTCTGGCACATGTATACACAACCCCAGGCACCAATACACACCTTCAGGGACCACAGTCTCTTAGATCCCTGCTTAACACACATACACACCTGCCATGTGCAGAACCCTGCCACAGGCCTAGAGATTCCAAGGCCCTTCCTGTGAGTTTTATCCCAGCTCCCCAGGGGCCTCACCCGAAGGAATGAGGAGCGAGAGGGCTGTGGCTGAGGCAGACTTGATCACTTTGTTGACAGGGCGAGCGGTGCGCTTCTCTGTAGAGTCCCCAGACAGCAGCCGGTGGCGGGCCCTACGCACAGCCAGGTCACTGATGGCCTTGGCCGTCGCTCCTTCAGACAGCTGCGGGATCCCACGGCCTCGGTTCTCCATAGCTGTAGGCCCAAGTGAGCAGTGAGACCCGTGATGCTGCTGAGACTCCTGCCCTGCAGTATCCTCCAGCTTAGGTCCTTTGGCTGCCCACTGGGCCATACCTGGACTGGAACTACTGCTCCGTCCAACAGCTTCCTCATCCAGCTTCAGCCGCTGCTCCCCAGAGCGTTCAGGGACAAGCCCAGATACCGCCTCTCCGGAAGGGGGTGTCAGGAACCATACACCCTCCTGCAGCTGCCTCCTGGGGGTGCTGCTGGCCTCCTCAGGGCCCTCAGGGAACCGAGGTACATCCAGGAGGCCCGAGCAGCGGCGTCGCACTGTCATTGGAGGGCTTGAGTCACTCTCTGTGTGGGATGACTCAGACACCGACAGCCGCTTCCGTAATCTATGAGACACAAGGCCTGGGGTGAGATGGCCCACGTGGTCCCCCTCCTGCCACCAAGCCTCCTTTGGGGCACACAAGGGTTATAGTAATGGAACTTTCCTCTGCAGACATTCCTCCAGGAGCCACCCTATGAATGTCCCCTCACTGCCACCTGCACTCTTCCCCAGCATCAGAATCTCTCTCATCATCTGTGACAATGTAGGGATAGCGGTGTCGCCCACCCTTGGTGAGTTCTGTGTGCTCACATATCAGGGGAGCCGATCACCCAGCTCCGGTCTCGGCCTTTGAGCCCCGCCAGGCCTTCTGAGCGGTCCTCCTTCTCCTCACTTAGGCTGCGCTTGGTCGGGGGTGGCGTCCGATGCTCTTCGAGCAGCGAGAGCCGTTCCATGCTGCTGTATACCTGTGGGGACAGGGGATGCATTGGGGATGGGCTCTGGCATCTGTACCTCCCAAGTGGCAAAATGCATCCTTGGCATCAGAAACCCAGGAATTTGCGCCAGTTGGCTCCTTCCCTCCTGCACACATCCCTGCTAAATATTTGGGGAAGCAGTTATTCCACTGATCTGACCTGGCATCTCATGTCAGGGGCTGCAGTGGTTCTAGAAGCACCTATATATAGCTATATGGAGCCCCAGTCCTCTGCTCCTCTTTTTCTCGAGGTGGCCCCATCCCCAATCCTTGAGCCTGCCCCAGGTGTGCCCTTTGACAGGCCCTCTTCTGATCCTCCAGCCTGTTCTGCCCATTCTGGGTCTCCTCAGTCACACCTTGCTGAACCTTGGAGAGCAGGAGGAAAACTGGCGGATCTCAAGGCAGCCATCCTCACTCACGTCTTCCTCATCCTCCGAGTCCACGTGGTGGTAGCGCTCTGAGCGGGCTGGGACAGATTAAGGACACTTCAGAGTCCTGCTGGTGGCCTCCTTGTGACCCCATTAGATTTCAGCAGAGCCCTGAGAAGTTGCTCCCAATGCCAAGTTCAGTGTGCACAGGTATTTCTAGGCAAATGGGTAGCACCCATACTGTACCCCAACAGTTGGCGGCCTTACTGTCAAAATAGCTAGTATCGTCCTCTGACTCCAGCTGAGGAATAAATTCAGCCTTCTGGCGGAGAAGTCCTGTCCAGTCCAGACCAGTAAAGAATGGGTGCTCCTTCACCTCATAGGCACCTCCTGTGGACAGGGAGGGCATGGGCAAGGGGGTAGAATGAGCTGCATGGAGTCCAGGTCAGCATATCTAGTAAGAAGCCAGACCTTGAGAAGCTATACCTAGGCTGTCAGCTCAAACGTCTTCCATTCTCTGCCTACAGGGAGCAGGGCAGAGTTTCAGGATCCAGACGGGCTGCCCCAAACCTCCAGGGTTGGGAACCTCCAGCTTCCCTTACCTCTTTTCCAAGTAGTGAGAAAAGTTAGCGGGGCCTGTCCTACCTGTGCCCAGTCTCTCCAGAGGGTTCTGGTGGAGCAGTTTGGAGGTGAGGTCCTGGGTGTCTGGGGGCAGTGCATCATCACCCTCAGGCCACACAATCTCATCTGAAGTCATCAGGGGTGAGAGGGAAAGGAGAAATTGTGGGTAGAGCGGAGAGATGTAGAAGAGGGTCCCAGGACAGTGTAAGGAAAGGAGGCAAAAAGGGCCCAGCCTGGAGCCCCAAAAGCCTTGCCTGAGACCCCAGTCCTTACATTCTATAGGTTCCTAGACCATGGCTTGATCTTTGATCCAAAGTGGGCACTGTGAAACAGTGATTTCCCCTATCCTGAAGCTCCAGCTCACCCTGCTTTTATACTCCACAAAATACACACACAAACCCCTCACACTCATGGGATGTGCACAAACAAACAGGAACACACAGGTATAGAGGGGAGATATGTGAAGCCCCAGGGATATAGCATGCACATGTATGTACAGGCAGAAACAGACATACCTGCCCCCAAAGCAGCAGACATCACACACACACCATGAGTTCAGAACAAGAGCTCATAGGCCTCACAAGCTGCTGGCATACATCATATTTGTGGATTCACACTGTTTCCCCACTGGGCCAGGGGGAGAGTACCTACCACTGATCACCTGCCCAAAGAGCTCCTCCGGAGTATCTCCAAAAAAAGGGACACAGCCCACCAGGAACTCATACAGGATAATGCCCATGGCCCACCAGTCCACTGGCTTCCCATAGCCCTGGCGCAGGATCACCTCAGGCGCAATGTATTCGGGGGTCCCGCATACCTGGGCACAGAAAGGCCGGGCTGGCTTAGCCTCCTGAGACTGCTCACTGGCATGACAGCTGGAGAGGGGGGATGCTCCCACCTCTGGAACAGAAGAGTCTCTGAATGAAGACTCAGCCCACCTTAATGAATAAGATCAACAGGAGCCCCAGGGAACAAGAGTTGGAACTATTGGTTGGTATTTCCTAATTAACAAAAAAGTCTCATTCTAGCCTGGAACTACCATCCCTTAAGCCCTCAACACCTACCTCTGGCATGTGATTCCACAATTGGCCTCTGCACTTCAGCCTCTAACAGAACAGACCCTACGAGTCACATAACTATAACAGGGACTGGTGAACAGTCACAACCTGAAATGTTAAACCAGGGAACATCCAGAGGCTGCCTCTCAGAACACTGGGCCACAGCTCAGTGGAAATTCAGAGCTGTGTTCCAAGCACCACAAGCTCCAGGAGATTGTTGTCCTTGACTCAGGCTGGGAGATTCAGGACTGATCTCACATGAAACTCTGTGTTAACAGTTACATGACCTATTTTCTCCAAACCCTGAGGAGGAAGATGACTTTGGATTTTATATCCACATGATTCTCATGGCTCATCCTGTTTTCCAAATGTGCTACCTGTATCAATGCCTCTCTGGAACCCAAAGGTAGGAAAGATAGGGGTTCCCCAATCTTAATATCTAGCTACGAGGTAGGCATATGGCCCCAAGGCCTTCTTCTAGGGCCTGGAATGTATGTATGTGTGTACAAATGTAGAGATGGGGTCTCACTATGTTGCCCACGGCTGGTTTTGAATTCCTGGCCTCAAGTGATCCTCCTGCCTCCACCTCCCAAAGGGCTGGGATTATGGGCATGAGCCACTGCGCCAGGCCAAGGGCCTAGAATTTAACCCCCAATATATCATCTACCCTTCCTTACCTGCTTGTCCAGGAATTCCCGGGCATCCTTTTCAATATGACCCTCATATAAGTTCGTTGTCAGACTCATGAGGCCAATTTTGGACAGTCCAAAGTCAGTGAGCTTGATGTGCCCCATGGATGTAATTAGGAGGCTGGGAGACCGGAGACACAAAATTACGAAGTTATTCCTGGTTTTCCGAGAGTACTGATTTTAGTATATGCCCAATTTCCCCACTCAGGCTTTCATGAGGGTACTGTGAGACAGCTTCAGCAGGGGGACAGGCAGGTGTGAAAAAGTAAATCACTCTGGCTATGTGAGTGTTACGTTCTACACAAGCAACAAACCTGCCTTTTGCCCATTCCCACAACTCCATTTCTGTTTATTGCCCTAACTGTATTCTATATTGGGCGTAGGAATCATTCAGTTGAGGAAGAGTTTCTTCTACAGAACTGAGCTCAGCCTCATCCTAAGGCAGCTGCTGTAGCCATTCCTAGTCCCCTCCCCCGACCTGAGTGGCCCATAATACTCCTGTTTCAGGGACAGAGGCAGGGGGCACATAATTTTGTTCCATGTTCATGGCTGGTCTTAGGAGGTGGGTTGGTTGGGAGAAACTAAGATCCCTTCATATACTCTGCCTGAGCCACTCATTTTGTGCTGAAGGCTTTACCCTGCCACCCTTTTATTCCGATGATTCCCCAAATAGTACCTCTGGCCCTGACTTCCTTCTTGAGATCCAGGCCTACCCAACTGCCCATATGTCTTTCAGGCACAAATTCAACCTGTCCAAAACAAAGTCATACCTCCCAACTGGTTCCCCTTCTCAGTGAAAAACAATAATTTCTGTTATCTATGAGCTCTGTGGTGCTGTAAAAATATTCCAGCCCCTGAAAGGTCTTCTAGAGTAACACATCAAAGGTAGGTATAATTATCCCTATTTTAGAAAGAGGAATGTGAGGGTCAAGGAAATTTAATTAATAGACTCAGACTCAGACTTAACAAGCAGAAGAGTGGCCATTTGAACTCAGGTCTGTCTAATGTCAAAGCCACTTTCTCCCACAGAGGCTTATCACCCTGCAACAGTCCCAAGCTGGAAATCTGGAAGACATCCCAGCCTCCTTCTGTTTCCTCACTTCCCTTCCTACCCCTACTCCAACCTGATCCTCTTCCCTTTCTGCTTCCTCATGCTACACCTTTCTTCTTTCTATCCTGGCTCCCTGTTCTGCTGCAGGCATTGCTGTCTTTGCCCTGGTCTCAGTGTCTCTCTTCATCAGTAGAGTGAGCTTTCTAAACCTAAACCACAATCTGGGTATGCCATTCTATCATATCTTTGGTTAACAGACCCTTCGAAGATTCTCTAGGCCCCTTTAAAATAAAACTCAAATATAACAAAAGGGCCCTTGATGAACTAGCACCTGCCTCTCTCACCTTTTCTCTTAACTACTCTCTCACCATCTAAGCTGTTGCCATGTTGTACTATTTGTAGTTCCTGAACAAGTGATGTTCTCTTGCACCTGTGTGCCTCTGCACATTCTGCTCTCCTGCTTTGGAAAGCAGGTCTCCTACCTTTTTCCACTTGACTCATACCCTCTGAGAAGAAGCCTATATACATATATTTCTGTCTCCCACTGTAGATTTAACTTCTACATGCCAGGGACTATATTTAAACCCAGAATATAGTGCTTGGCACAGGGTAGATGTCAGTAAATGTCAGGACACTTGTTCAGCCATCTACGACATGTGCTTATTCTTTTGTTCTTGCTTGGTTTTTTCAGTGGGGCTCCTCAGTGACTCTTATGTCACTGAAGCCTTATAATGCTCCAGCCAGACCTTGAGGCAATGATTTGCATCTGGGGTCAGGGAGCTAGAGAACTAGGCCTAGATGGACACACATAGAGACATGTTTCCCAGTAGCCATCTGGATACATTTAGATCTACTGTGCTTGCCAACATTTATCTAGAGACCCAAGAGGGAGACCCTGGACAAGGGACACAGAGAGTAGACATACTTGTCAGGCTTGAGGTCACGGTGCACGATGCCATAGTTGTGTAAGTACTCCAGGGCCAGCACAGTTTCTGCAAAGTATAGACGCACCATGTCCACAGGCAGGGCCCCAATATTCTTCAGCAGAGTGGCACAGTCTCCCCCTGCAATAAGCCCAGGCTACCATGAGGAAAGGATCCAGTTCCCTACTCTAGCCAGTTCCCATCTGGCAGTTTCTGAGGTCCCAGAGGAGACAGCTTCATGGAATATCCTGGTGCTGGAGACTCTATTCTAGCCCTTTTGCTGCTGGCATGGGTGGGAGATGGTGATATGGTTTGGCTGTGTCCCCACCCACATCTCATCTTGAATTGTAGCTCTCATAATTCCCATGTGTTGTGGGAAGGAACCTAGTGGGAGAAAATTCAATCATAAAGTGGGTCTTTCCCATGATAGCGAACAAGTCTCATGAAATCTGACAGTTATTTTCATTTATTAATATTTTTTTAGACATAGTCTTGCTCTGTCGCCCAGGCTGGAGTAGAGTGGCTTGATCTCAACTCACTGCAACTTCTGCCTTCTGGATTCAAGGGATTTTCCTGCCTCAGCCTCCCAAGTAGCTGGGATTACAGTTGTGTGCCACCACACCCAGCTAATTTTTGCATTTTCAGTAGAGGCATGGTTTTGCCATGTTGGTCAGGCTGGTCTCAAATTCCTGACCTCAGGTGATCTGCCTGCTTCTGCCTTCCAAAGTGCTATGATTACAGGTGTGAGCCACCATGCCCGGCAGATCTGATGGTTTCATAAAGGGGAGTTTCCCTGCACAAACTCTCTCTCATCTGCCACTATGTGAGACATGCCTTTCATCTTCTGCCATGATTGTAAGGCTTCCCCAGCCACAATGAACTGTAACTCCAATAAAACTTCTTCTTTCATAAATTGCCCAGTCTCTGGTATGCCTTTATTAGCAGTGTGAAAATGGACTAATACGCAGGGCATGGAGGAGGGTGGAAAGTAAAGTGAATCTGCTGATAGCTGTCAAGGCCATTTTTCAGGCCACAGAGGGAAGGAACCCAGCCCTCTATTAAAAGTAATGGCGGCCGGGCGCGGTGGCTCAAGCCTGTAATCCCAGCACTTTGGGAGGCCGAGGCGGGTGGATCACGAGGTCAAGAGATCGAGACCATCCTGGTCAACATGGTGAAACCCCGTCTCTACTAAAAATACAAAAAATTAGCTGGGCATGGTGGCGCGTGCCTGTAATCCCAGCGACTCAGGAGGCTGAGGCAGGAGAATTGCCTGAACCCAGGAGGTGAGGTTGCGGTGAGCCGAGATCGCGCCATTGCACTCCAGCCTGGGTAACAAGAGCAAAACTCCGTCTCAAAAAAAAAAAAAAAAAAAAAAAAAAACAAAAAAAAAAAAAAAAAAAAAAAAAAAAAAAGTAATGGCAAAAATGCAATTACTTTTGCACCAACCTAATATTTTAGGACAGGAATACTGCATACTGTAAACACATCTGGCCAAGATGCTAGCATTTGTTCATTTTACTTCCTTCTTTTTGGCTTTCTTTTAGTTTCTGAGTAAAGTAACACTATAAACTCCCAGCATGTACCCACTAAACACTAACAGAGTTTTGTTTTGCTTCAGCCTCAAGACGTAGGCACAATATCTTTGGAAGCTGTACACACAGTGAGAAGGTGAGAGGAAAGGCCTCTGGCAAAGCTGCTGCCCCTCTCCAGAACTATGCCCTGTGTTGCTCTTCTGTTCTACTCCCAGAGCATTTTACATGGTTTTAAGGGGTGTCCCCTTTCCAAGCCAGTCAGGGTGATTAATGGCTTTCCTTTCTTCTGAGGGTCCAGATGCAATCCTCCTAGCACCCAATCCTGGGCTTTTGCAGCTCTGCTGCCTCCTTTGTTGCTGTCTGATACCAGCAGTAGAGGGTTTGCAGGCTTTGGGGTGCAACATTCTATAGCTGCTGGCCTGCTACATCCTGTTCCAGAGTGGCTCTCATGGTAGAGGCAGGGAGCTTTGTGCCCACCATGGCCAAATGGTCTCAGTAATCCTGGGGCCAAAAGCAATACCAAAGGAAGACTGTCCTGAAAGTTCACCTCTGTACAAAGTGCTGGTCCCTGTTTAAGGCTAAGTCTCAGATTGTGCCTTGGCCTTTGTGCCAGGCCACCTTTGCCTCCGTACCTTCAACATACTCCATCACCATGCACAAGTGGCGCTTGGTCTCAAAGGAGCAGAACATGCTGACCACAAAAGGGTTCTCAGCGAAAGTCAGTATGTCACGTTCCACGAAGGCCTGTTGGATCTGGTTCCGTAGGATCAGGTTTTGCTTGTTGATCTTCTTCATGGCAAAGCGCTGCCGGGTGGACTTGTGCCGCACCAGGTATACAGCCCTGGGAAACACAGTCCGGCCCAACATGGACCCTTAGCACCTGTGCTGTGCTCTTTGCCACCCAAACTGCCTTCTCTCAAACCTTAATTAATGCACAGAACAAAGGTGCAGGGGTGTGCATATCAATGAGAAGGATCTGGGACCCCCTGGCCCACAAAACTCTTAAACTTCCTGATAGACCATGTCCTGATGACACGGCTCAATGCTTCCCCAGAGCTCAGGGAGAGGAGGATGCATGGTAGTAAGAGGGGTGGGAATCTTGTCTGGGAAAGGAACAATGCTCAGATGTCAGTGGAATCTGAACTCCTGCCCACCCAGGAGGCTTCTGGGAGTGAGAAAGTCCACCCCGAGGCATCTACGCAGAGGACTGGGCAGCATACACTCTCACATGGAAGAGACCAAGGGCTGACCTGGCTTCAGTCCTGGCCACACCCTGACCCCTGTCTTTACCCATAGGCGCCATTGCTGATGAGCTTAATGGTTTCGAAGTCCTCTTCAGAGGGTGTCTTTTTAGATGGCAGAGATGCCCCACGGCCCTGGAAGACAAGGGAAATGCAGGAGACAGGCATGCTTCTCAGAGCCCATATCCTTGCGGAAGCTGTGGCTCTAGCATCTTCTCAGCTCTTAGCTCTAGCATACTCTCCTGACCATTCTTCTGGGAATAGAATGACTTCTCAGACAGTGTTTGCTGTCACCAATACCCCCATCCCTCCTTCAGATATTCTCTTAAAGAGAATTCATAGCTCTTTGCTTCAGAGGGCCCAGGCTCCAGGAATGGAGCAGGAGCTCAGGGGTTTTTACCTCAATAGAATCATCTGTTTCTGGAGTGTCAGGACTGTCACAGCTGCTCAACTGGGCCATTTCTGGAAACAAAGACAAGAGAAGAGTGCATGTGGCAATGTCAGGTATCTCAGCAGTAACCCCAGATCATACAACAGGTGTGTGTAGGGTAGGCATTAATGCTTTCTGCATCAGCCTGGGATGTGAATTCAGTCCTGTGGCACTATACCCAATGTAGTCCCGGCTTTTGGATCAGGAAACAAACCAAATCCTACTGCTACTCCCATTTCTAGAAGTCCATTGCCATTCACAGGGTCTGGCAAATTCTATAAACTTGGGTCATTTCCTGGAAAACGGCCTGAATCTGGGCTACTAGTTCCCATCCTGCTGGCCAAGACTGCTTCACTGGATGGGGCTGGGAAGCACAGAAGGCAGGAGCAGGATAACTGCAGACCAGGGACTTGGAAGCCCATGGTTCCTGCAAGTGTTCAGCAGGAAGCCCAGAAGAATGGCAATATCCTCTGAAGCCCTGTGTTGGACCACCCCAAAGATAAAGGAATATCTGTAAGGTGGCCAAGAGGAGAGGCAAGTTGCAGAGGAGGTGACCATTTTTGCAAATATGATTGTGGCCCTTTTGTGTTGACCTCTTTGGATCTGAGGCTCTAAAATGCAACTCAGCTGGGCCGATGCAATCCAGGCTGGGATCTGTCAGGCAGATGTGAACAGCAGTTTCAAAGGAAAGGCTGTTTTGTCACAGAGATCACAATGTATCTTCTAAAATCCTGAGGCACCGGGGCCATGTTGTGTCCATGTCCAAGCTAAGTCTCTTCTCCAAGCAGCTTCCCTGCTGTTAGAGCTTGCCAGCAGCAATGGGGCCTCTTTGCAGCCACCAGGCAGCATGCTCACCCTCTAGGGGATCCCGTGTGAGGCCCAGCTGGCTAACGATGTAGCGGGGAATGTCACATTTAATCCCTTGTCCCTCTTTGGCGTGGCCCTCAGCTGCTTCTAATAGGTGGTAGAACTCTTCAGGGTCAAACTCCTGTACCAAGGGAGAGAGGTAGTCAGTGGTGACAGATAAAAGTGAAAGCTGTTGGCCTCTTTGGTTTTATAGCATTTAGTAGAATGAGATGAACAAGATTTTCTCTGTGATGGGACACTCCCACCCCTGAATACTCAGAAACATGATTCGGGGATCACAGGAATGGGGACAAAGATGTCAACCAGGTCACCTCCAGATTGGACATGCTAAGCATACACTGTCTTCCTGGCAATAAGAACTAGAGGTTTTGCTTTCAAGAGAGCTCAGCCTATTGATCTCCCATGCCTTCTATCAGCCAGGTGGCACTGTCAGTCCTGGCACACACTCAATTAAGGCTCATAAGAGCTTTGGCACAGCCCTACTGGTGCATGCATACCTTCAAATATTTATCAGGCACTTCCTGTGTGCTAGAGGCTGGAGATCCATTGAAAAGCATAGTCGTTGTCTGCACATAATAACTGAGTGCCTACTAAGGGCCACACACTGGGTTAAACCCTCTAGCAACTCTTCGATCTCACTGAGGAAATCAAGGCTCACAGGGATGCACTGATGTGTCCATAATCACAGAGGCAGGAAGGAACAGAAAACCACCATTCAGCCCAGGTCTGACTCCAAGTCCCTGCTAAGCCAAGCACTTCATGTTCTTGAGGGAAAGGCTCTCTGCTCGATCACAGCACTAGCTCTGAACTTTGTTCTCATTCCCTGTGGTCTCACTGTTTTGGAGAATTGTACCTATCTGGATATAACCTAAGCCAGACCTGGAAGTCCTTTTTTTTTCTTCCTTAGCTCCTATCTGGTCAGAATGTCTCTCTCATAAATCCTCCTCTAATCCACCTCTTTCTCTCTGTTAACCTACCATTCAATGTCTGAGTTCTGGCCACACTATCGCACATGAATTGCTTTGAGTACCTCTGCCCTGATGTCCCTGGCTTATCTTGCCCTGTGTTCTAATTCACTATCCATGTTGCAGCCAAAGTAATCTGATGGAATATTTACACAGAAATAAATAGGAACCAATTACTGATACATGCAACAACATGTATGAATTTGCACAAACATGCAGAGTGGAAGAAGTCAGTACATAATACAGAAACCACACACAGAAACATGGTTTCATTTCTAGGAAACTGTACAAAAGGCAAACCCATCCCTAGTGAAACAAAGCAGGTAAGTTATTGTCTGGGAGCAGAAGAAAGAGAGGACTGACTTCAAAGGAGCACAGAGGAACTTATATAATAGAAATATTCTCTAGCTCAGCTGTGGCCATGATTCTAAAAGTGTATATTTGTTAGATCTCGATGAACTATAAAATCAAAGGGATATATTTTATTGTATGTAAACTGTATCTTTTTTTTGTTGTTGTTGAGACAGAGTCTTGCTTTGTTGCTAGGCACCAGGCTGCAGTGCAGTGGCATGATCTCAGCTCACTGCAACCTCCGCCTCCCAGGTTCAAGCAATTCTCCTGCCTCAGCCTCCTGAGTACCTGGGACTACAGGTGTGTGCCACCACGCCCAGCTAATTTTTGTATTTTTTAGTAGAGACAGGATTTCACCATGTTGCCCAGGATGGTCTCAATCTCTTGACCTTCTGATCTACCTGCCTCAGCCTCCCAAAGTGCTGGGATTACAGGCATGAGCCACCGCACCTGGTCTTATGTAAATTATATCTTAATAATATTGTTTAAGAAAAAAGTAAATGTGACCATGTCATATTCTCAACTAAATTTTCTGGTGCCTCCAAGTGGCCATAAGAATAACGCAAAGCTCCAGAGCTAAGAACCCAACACCCTCCGTGACCTTGTCACAACCTACCTTACAGGCTTACCCCTCAGCACTTCTTCAAACCCACCCTGTGCCCCACTGAATGCTCCTTTCCACGCTCCTTATCTGGGATTTTGCTGATATCATGTCCCCCAGGGAGCATTCACTGAATGTTCCTTTGAGGGAAGACTAAAGCACTTCCTTTTCTAGATTCCCAGTGTGCTGTGTACTGACCTCAGCTGCAACACTTCTTGCAGTTATTATAATTACTATTTACATGTCCTCATGCCTCATGCTCCCCAACTACACTGTAGAGAAAACATCCTGAGATCAGAGACTGTGCTTTATTGATGTCTGTATCTCCAGTGTCTAGCACGAAGTAGGTACTCAGTAAAGTATTGCTGAAGCTTAAATGAAGGACTCAACTTGTGCAGACTAAATTTGGGCTATGCTCCTGATACTCCTTACACCCAAGGTCCCCACTGATGTGAGCCCTGCTCATGTTGGGGTGGGCTAGACTAATACTCCTCCCTGCCACATCCCCTCAGGACCATACATTTGTCCTCACAGAAACCTGTTTAGTCCCCCAGTGCTCGCAAAGCATATTTAAATTAGGACTAAGCAACAGAAATGGTGGTGGGTGCCACCACAGTTTTGTTGTCAGCAGGCTACTTCCTCTATAGCCCTCCTCCAAATTTGCCCATCCGACTTTCCTAGAGTCCACTCACCAGGCATTCCAGGAGACGTGCTGGACGGGCAATGACAATCATCAGCTTTTTCACTAGCTGCATCACAAAAGCCACTTCCGAGCTCTCTGAGCGCTCATGAGCCTACAGAGAAAAGAAGGTTGTTTAAGCAATCTACTGGCCCAGTATGGTTGGGCTAAGCAGGACTAGACTGGGCAGAGCTAACTATAGGAAGAAACAATTGGTAGCATAGAGAGCTCTGCAAAGCAAGGAACTCAGAGAAGGCTGGTTGACTATGAGAGGGAGAGAGTTGCTTACAGGGAACCATCTGAGCTTTAGAATACTACATAACACTAAGCAATGTCACACAGACATATAGTTGTACCTGCTCCTACATCCAACAAGCCTCACTTACCCTTCAGACCCCAGCTCAATGGGCAACTCTCAATGGCGCCTTCACTGATGTTCACTTTCCACCCTAGACTGTAAGGAATAGAGAGACCTCAAAGCTGAGGAGTGATATGATCAGAAAGGTACTTCAGAAGGATCACTGTGGCTGCAGTGTAGAGGGTACACTAAGAGGGCAAGGCTAAATGCAGGAAAACCCATTAGCAGGCAACTCTAATAATTCAGATAAAAAAGGCATAGGTCAAGGCAGAAGAATACAGACAAGTGGACAGACTTGGGCAACTACAGAAGCAGATTAAGGGGTGAAAGAAGCACGAATAGAAGGCAACTACAGCTTCAATTCTAGGAAAATTTCAATGAAGAAGTGAAATGGGAACTCTAAGATGATAAGCCATTTAGGTGAGGATAGGTAAAGAAATACTGTATTTTGTTTTAGAGAAAGAACAGCTAGGCAGAAGAGTTAAGCTCAATTTTGGGTGAATAGAGTTGCAGGCACCTACATGAGAGAGTCTCTTGGGTATCTGCTTGGCCCAGAGGCCTTTCTCTTTTTTCCTGAGAACTGCTCTGGTTTCTAGGAGCCACATTTGTACTGTGTGACTGCACCTTCCCTCCCACCTCTAACAGCTGACCAGGGAGGATCAGTTGCCTAGGAATTTAAAAATGGATAGAAAGATAATTGTTAATGTCAATGTGGCAGAACTGTTTAAGAAACTGTGAAAAGGGATGGCCATATCTATCATGGAGATAGAAGAAAAGAAGCACACAGAAAAAGAGAAATGAAGATTTCCTGAAATTCCTGGAGCTTCTGGTTTCTAGTTCTGGTTTCTCCTTAAGTCCTGGTTATATCCCTAGCTTCAATTCTCTAAGACCCACCCCTTTTACTCTTATGTTTCCCTTTACTGTTTAAACTATTCTGAGTCAGGTTTCTATTACATGCAACCAAAGAACAGAAACCAATATGGGAAGTCAAAGTGGAGGAGTCCAATGGGCAGCTGGGTGTGCCGATCTGAAGCTCAGAAGAGGGGCAGCCACATGTGGGAGTCCTCAGCGTAGAGATGACAACTGAAGAACTGAAGACATGGGAGCAGGTGGCAAGGCATCAGAGAGAGTGTGGAGAAAGGGGAAAGGGAACAACAGACATGCAGGATGGTGCTGTGTGACACACCAGTACTGAAGAGATGGGCAGCAAAGGAACTTGTAAAGAGTCAGCAAGACCAGTGAGAATGGTGAATTGACAACGAGGGGGGAAGAGGGTTTAAGAAGTATTCACTGTGTTCCACAGAGAGGTGGCAGAAGATGGGGACTCAAAGTGGCCACAGGATTTGGCAACTGGCCAATTAGTTCCTTGGTGAATTTTGCCTGAACGGTTTTAGTGGACTGGTGGAAAGGGAAACTGGAAGGCAGAAGACTGAGTAGTGAATAGGATACAAGGAAAGGAAAATTAGTATATGAGGACTTTTCTCTTTTTAAAGTATTGGTTATGAAATGAAGAGAGAGGTTGAGCAGTTGGTGAAATCCTATTTATTCTTTTAAAATGTAGCCCAAATATCATCAATTCTGTGAAGCCTCATCTGTCTCCTGTTCCCAACACACATATATACACACATGAGAAGAAAAAGAAGTAACTGCTCTCTTTAACATATTCTCCTGGCTGTTAGTGCATAACACATGGTACTGTCATGCTGTGTCATAACGAGCTATCTGTCTCTACAGCTACACTACTGGGCCTAGTGAGTAAAGAGGCTCTATGTCTTTTTCTTTCCTCAAACGCTAAGCCTAGCAGAGTGCCTCCTATACAGCAGATGTCAGTCAATGTCTATGGATTAAGCGTTTGAAAATATATGATCTCAGGCTCTGGAATAAGCCAAACCTGGCACTGGGCCCTGGTTTTGCTACTTAAAAAAAATCCATTATCTTCAGCTAACTTAAGTTTCCTCATCTGTAAACTTAGGAAATAATATTAAGTACCTTCCTTATATGATTGTGAAGATTTAATCAGATAAATGAGGTAGTATCTAGCATGTATTAAATACTATTAATAACAGTATAATATGCAGTAACTAATAAATGTTACTGATTTTTATTATTCTAAAATCTGATCAGGTCATTTTCCAATTTACCATATTAGATGATACCCACTGCATTCATGATAAAATCTAAACTCCTCACAAGGCCCTTCAGCCTCTGGCCCCTAGTCTAATTCTTCAAATTCATCTGCCAGCTGGCTAGGCACGGTGGCTCACACCTGTAATATCAGCACCTTGGGAGGCCGAGGTAGGTGGATCATTGGAGATCAGGAGTTTGAGACCAGCCCGGCCAACATGGTGAAACCCTGTCTCTACTAAAAATACAAAAATTAGCCAGGTGTGGTAGCAGGTGCCTGTAATCCCATCTGCTAGGGATGCTGAGGCAGGACAAATGCTTGAACCTGGGACACAGAGGTTGCAGTCGGCCAAGATCACGCCACTGCACTACAGCCTGGGAGACAGAGTAAGACTATGTCAAAAAAAAAAAAAAAAAAAAAATCTGCCAGCTTTTCCCCTGTGGGCATCTTTTACTATAGTCATGCCAAACTACTTCATCTGCAATTTCTGGAATATACCAAGTTTCTTTACACCTTTGAGAGGTTATTTGCTTATTTGTTTATTTAGAGACGATCTCACTCTGCCATCTGGGTTGGAGTGCAGTGGCACAATTACAGCTTACTGCAGCCTTGGCTTCCAGGGCTCAGGCAATCCTCCCAACTCAGTCTCCTAAGTATCTGGGATTACAGGTGCATGCCACCACACTTGGCTAGTAGAAAGGGGGTCTCATGTTGTTGCCCAGGCTGGTCTCAAGCCCCTGGGCTCAAGTGATCCTCTCACCCTGGCCTCCCAAATTGTTAGAATTATAGGTATGAGCCACTGTGCCCAACCAAGATGTTGTTTATGCTGTTTCCTAGCTTTATCCTACCTGTCTGTTAAGATTCAACCTTCCCTGAACTTTCCACGAAGAGTCAGCATATCCTTCTCTGTGCTCAGAATATACCTCTCCCTGGTGCTTATCATCACGTTGTACTGTAGTCAGTGGAAGTGAGAGAATTCATATACTCAGTGTAATAACAGTGATTATTTTTATTGTAAGTACATGTTGATGAGTCTGTAACCCTATTGATGGCAAATTCCCTAAGATAGAGCCTGCAATGAATTCTTTTCTACATTCCAAGGGTCTCGCAAATTAGGGAACAAATGAACAAACTAGCTCCAAACTCAGTGCTACTATGGTATCAAACAACCTACGCCCATTAGCAATCAGTCTGGGAAAATGCCTAAAGGTTTTGGGCAAGACTCTGACCTCAGCATTTTAGAAGATCAATCTTAAATGTACCAGGAAACTTGGAAGTTACTTTACATTAATCCTTTACCTGACACAGTAATCCCTGATTCCTAAATGTCTCTGGGGTACCCCTTTCCATTGCTGGCAAACTGTCAGAAAGCTTTTCTTGAACAGAAACCCTCAGCTACCAGTGATTTTCATGGGACTCTGGCTTTCTAAAATTATACGTCTACAATGTTTGATTTTAAGTATTTCTTTTGAAATCAGAAAAAGACATTTTCATAGAAGGAAGTAATTTTTCACCTATTAAATCAAAACCATTCTCACTGTAGCTCATGCCCTTTGGACTAATTATGTCTTTCAGGGGTACTGAAAACAATCTGCTCTCTTTTATATATGAGAAATTTTACACTACTTGACAACAGTTATCATGATCATCTTTAGTCATCCTTTCTTTAGATTCAACTGTTTCCTGAAAATGTGTTTAAACTCCCTGCTCCTTCTTATTTCTAAATGAACACACTGGTATCCTTTTGATGATTAGCCCTGGGCCCTCAGCTCAGTTGGTACTACTCTAGACAGAGGTCTTGGTATGGAAGTAATAAGGGGTTCTGGACTGAATAATTCTTTAGTGACATGATGAGCTCTGGGGAGACAGGCACATCTTCCCTCCCTCAAACTGTACTAATGGATAATATGGACTGCTGTGGTCTGAGTGAGATGGCATCTGGCCACCTTACTGAAGAGGCTGATAGCAAAGGAAATGCTAGTGCAGGAAGCAGTGCTTAAGAACTCTCATATGCTTTGGTCTTGGCCATCTCTGGAACACTTTACCTTTAGCCTCCCAGAGATTTTTCACACGGGGGAGGATCAGGTCTCAAAGCATGTAATTTCCAACTGGAGAACTTCTCATCAAGCAAGTGGCTAAACCCATAGTGCAAGCCTCATACCTGCTGTCCCTTGGCTGAGGATAAACAGTTTGAGGGTTCTGCTTAAATCAGTATTTCCAGTAGAATGGAGCCCATCACAGCCACTGGAGCCACTTTTTGGCTTTGTGTAACAAACCTCCTAGTCAAATACTTATGAATACTACCAATGGTGGAGCTTCATGCAGAGTAATACAACTTTGGATTTAGAAATGGAACAGAAGTGAGTTCTTTTGATATCAAGCAGGCTTCTCTCAGTATTGCAGGGAACTGAGGAGGAATCTAAGTCCATCAGCACTATCCGTGAGGGTGGGTAACAAGCAGTCTGTTAAGACTGAGAATACCACTAATGCCCTGATCCTAGCTTGGGATTATGAATCCAATACCAGGTGGAGGTTTTACCAGAACTCCAGCACAAGGACACTCACATCTTGCAAGAGTTTCTCCAGATTTTCTTGAAGTTCATAGAAGTACTGTGATGTAATGAGGCCACTCTGAGATTTATCCAGGCAGTCTCGGGCCATCTCAATCACCTGATGATGAATAAAGCTCAGGGCTCCATCTGCCAAGGGCAGCACGCTGTCTGGAGTGTTGGAGGAAATAAACTCTGCTAGTCGCTCTTCCATTTGTGCGGTGGCCTGGGAAGAAAAGCAAGAAAGAAACACTTCCCTTCTAATCCCAGCTCAGTTGGAGCTAAGCCTGAAGGATCTGGAAATAGCAGAATAATGGGCTCCCTGTAATCCTGGTTTCCTTACACTGCATTTGGGAAACCTGATAACTGAAGACATTAAAAGATCACCTTCAAGTTAAGTCAAGATGCCTTTGCTTTATATTCAAGGTTCTCTTTTACCTGGCCTTGCCCATCTTCCTTAACTCCTTGCAGGGCAAGCTCTTTTTTTTTTTTTGAGACGGAGTTTCACTCATGTTACCCAGGCTGGAGTGCAATTGCACGATCTCGGCTCACCGCAACCTCCGCCTCCTGGGTTCCGGCAATTCTCCTGCCTGAGCCTCCTGAGTAGCTGGGATTACAGGCACGCACCACCATGCCCAGCTAATTTTTTGTATTTTTTAGTAGAGACGGGGTTTCACCATGTTGACCAGGATGGTCTCGATCTCTTGACCTCGTGATCCACCCGCCTCGGCCTCCCAAAGTGCTGGGATTACAGGCCTGAGCCACCGCGCCCGGCTCCTAATTCTCCTTCTAATCTCAGTTTAAGCATCGAGTCTCCTCTGGGAAGTCTTTCCTTTCCCCCAGGCAAACTAGGGTTTTCATTCCTCTGTTCTTCTTCCCCTAGACCTCCCAACTGTGTAAACTTAGTATATGGGCACTGCTGGTTTCTAAACTGGGAAGTCCTTCAAGTCAGAGAGAGTTTCATTTATCTCAGGATCCTCTTACTTAACCTTAGGACCCAAGGGAGTTAGGCAGGTGCTCAGAGAGTTGCTTAGTGAACCTGCCTGGTTGCAGATGGCAAGTTGGAATGGGGGGACTTATAGATAGGAACATGACAGTGACCTGGATCCCCAGAAGAGAGTGGAGGTCTGGCTCCAAAGCCTCTTAGGGACCTAACTACACAGTCATATCAAAATGACAAATACACATCTGAGAACGAATTCCTAGTTGTCTATCTAAGACTTTGACTTATTTCTTTTGCCACCAGGTGGTGATTTCTGATTTCCAGTGTGTTTTTAGGCAAATGTATACTTACATACATATATATGCGGTGTGTCTATGTGGAGAATGAAAGAGGAAGAGGGGAAAAGAGTGGGAATAAGAGGAGGAAGAAGGAAGTGAAGGAATCTTAACACATTTTCTCTAACAATAGTTCATCCAATAGGAAGGAACTGGAAACGTGCCTATAAACACAAACATCCAATGCTACAAAAACACCTAATATACAAGGAGGGGGAGGACATGCATGAGATACATTTCTCAACATTATATACTCCCACACTTCATAAGCACCATGTACATCAAAATGAATTCCTAGCTGTTTGTTCTGCCTCCTTCCTCACTCTTTTCTCTAGCGCCCACTCCAAAGCTAGAAAGCGCAGACCACAGGGTACAGGTTCTGTAGTCCAGTATCCTCTCTCCATCAGGAATAGAGCCTATCTTCAGAAGGTCAGGTCAGAGTGTACAGGCATGTGGTGTTGAAAAAGACATGCAAATAGGGCTGGGTGCGTGGCTCACACCTATAATCCCAGCACTTTGGGAGGCTGAGGCAGGTGGATCACCTGAGGTCAGGAGTTCGAGATCAGCCTGGCCAACATGGCAAAACCAGCCTCTACTAAAAATACAAAAATTAGCTAGCTGTAGTTGCACATGCCTGTAGTCCTAGCTACTCAGGAGGCTGAGGCAGGAGAATCGTTTGAACCTGGGTGGCAGAAGTTCCAGTGAGCCAAGATTGCACCACTACACTCCAGCCTGGGTGACAGAGCAAGATTCCATCTCTTAAAAAAAAAAGACATGCAAATGGGAAACAAGGTCCTAGTTCCACATATAAGGAGGTTCACAGCCAAACAACAAAGCTGTGAATGGTACTTCTCAGCTATCTCAGGATACCAACCTACTTTCCTCCCTCAGCATTTTCCTGCTTGAAAATATAAATTCAAATGTTAGCAAGCAATTCTGAGATCTGTTTCCTACTTCTACTGCTCTCTCTGGCCTTCTTGCTAATGCAGCCTACTTCTGTCTGTGTACTCTCTGACACCTGGTAATGATGTGGTGCTTAAGAAATCTCTATTAAATAGAGGTGCCATCAGATGGCAAATCCTGTAATGAGTGAACCCTGACTCATGGATCCTCACGAGCACATTGAGAAATAAAGCATCCAGTTCTTTTTTCCTGTTTAATATATGACGAGATATCTTTCTGACATTCCCCTCTGGATAACTCTACTTCTGGATAGTGAAGAAATAGAGGCCTTGCAAATGCAGTCCCCAAACTGATAGTTTCCTGCTGTCTCCTTCTCAAGTAGTCTAGAAGCCCCTGTGCTGTGTCCACAGCCTCCTGGCTTTCTGTTCTTCTTCTTGGTTATCTCTGGAGGTAGCACTTCATTCCCTTACTCCAGAGTCTTCCCACTGGGGCTGGCTATAGGCAGCCACCCTGGGGGACATTGCCACTCTCCTTTTAAATGCATCCTTACCTTCGGGAATCTTTCTTTGTACACATGATTCATCATTATTATTTCACTGTCAAAGGAAACTGGGGATCGTCCAGGACTGAAAAAGAAAGAAATGATTGTGTTACTTTAGTGCTATGGAACAAAAAGAAAGATGGCCATCCCCAGAGACTCTGTCTTCAGCAGCCTACATACACCTACCTTAATGGCTACTGAGTTCTAGAGCCTTTCTTATTCCTAGAGTTTCCAGTGTTCCTTGTTCAGTTCAAAATGGTACCATATGGAGCTAAGCTTGGTTTTCAGAGACTTCTGCCAGGCTAGAAAGACCTAGAAAGGGACCTACTCCTAAGCTCACTGGTGGCTTTCCTAGGATAACCTCCCCCAGAATAGGATTCTCTGTGTCCTCTTAGTTTTGCCAGTAGGGTTGGGTGTGCCCCAGCATATTCTTGGAAACAAAGCAAATCAAACAACTACCAAAGCAACAAAAGGAAGACGGTGCACATGTACATTTTTTTGCAAACTAGCTGCAGCCAGTGGACCTAACTTGGGCTCTGACCTGGGGGATGAATGAGGCTAGTCCAGACTGTTATAAGTCTGGGTCATTTACTGAAGAGAGCCAGTATGTTTTCTGCCTTAATTTATTATCTTCCCTGATAACCTAAATCTCCCCCTCTGACTCATATGTGATTATATCTCCTTAAAGGATTTCAGAGTTGGAGCCGCATAAATAGATATACGGGTCTTACCCAGTTTACTGCTCCTGACACATGATCCCAGATGTGCTAGTTTCACAACTGTCCCATTTTGTCTTTCTTCCCTGGAATGTGCCATGTTTTGGCCTGCTGTTCTGTTGCACATTACCAAGGATTAAAGAGTAATATAGCAGGGGTTTCTCTGAGCAACACTGTGGGCCTCCCAATCTCAACTGGCCTAAAAGGTACCCTTCTCTATGTATGGGTTGTTGAGACCACCAAGACTCAGGTGTTTCTCTGTGAGACAGAGAAAGGCACTGGGGATCCACACCTGCTCGTTTGTATGCCTGATCCTTTTGCACTGAAGTTCCAGTCATCATCTTCAACAATCTCTAAACCTGAACCAGTCATTGTGGTCTAGCCCAGCTTACTCCTTGTCACTCCTGGTGCAGTGACAGCATTACCTGAGGGGATTCTTTCTGGGAGGAACTGCTGCTCCTCTGGGATCCTACACTGCAGATATTAGCCAATTAATTACTTCTTAGGGACCCTGCAAAAGTGAGCTCGGTCATTAAAGTCATGTTCATTTTAACCTAAAATTCTGGCACTAATTTACCAGTTAACACCAATGAGAATAGAAAATTAAGCATCAGCTGTTAAGGTTTGTTTGGTTTGATGAAGATGTGCCCAGGTGATTCATAAAGACAGATTCAAATGGACATTTAATTCTGCTTTTGAAATGGTCTTCTTCCCCATGCTGGCAACCTGTTTTCAGCAGCAACTTTTTTAGCTGGCCTAGCTCATATACCCAGGGCCTATGGGTTCTGGAGCCAGACAACCATCAGAATGGATACCATTGTTCTCCTTTTACTGGATGTAATCTAAAGTATATTTTTGCTGCTAACTACCTTAAAGGGAATAAGAAAGGGACCACTTGACAGTATTGTTAAATACCTCCTGGGGTGATAGGTTGAGCTGTACCTGAAGCCAAGAAGGGCCTGGGCTTTGCTGAACTTGACTCACTCAAACTGGCCAATGTATTATGCCAGGGGTTAGCAAACTGCAGCCTGCAGACCAACTCTGGCCTGCCACCCTTTTTGTTTCTTTTGGTAAATAAAGTTTATATATTATTTGTAGATGCTTTCATATTACAACAGAGTTGAGGAAGGTGACAGAGATATATGATTTATAAAAAAGCCTAAAAATATTCAGTCTTAGCCCTTTATGGCACAAGTGTGCCTATTCCTGTGCTATGCAAACAAACTGAAATCCACATCCACTGGGACAGTGGGCAGAGAACACCCTCACCTGAGGCTCCGGGAGCGGGGCCGCATGGCTGGGGACTGCCGTCCCTCCTCATCTGGTACGCTCTCTGTGCTGAAATGCTTTGTCAAAAAGTGTAGCTCATCAGCTGTAGGCTGGAAAGGCAACTGGTGCAGCTTTTCCTGTGAGGAGCATGACGACTAGAGGGGAAAACATTAACAGGCGGCATTAAAGACATGTCCCAGGGCAGTCCAGGAATGGGGAAGGACTGAAAATGGTCAGGGAACTTCCCAGTCACTGTAAACCCAAAGCAGGTCTTCTTTCCTCTACTCCCTTAGCCTTGCCTGTGCATGATCTTTTTCTTCTCCAGCGCTTCAGAGCCCTCAGCCCTGAGGAACCCAATATACTAGAGTTCTTCAGGAGTTGTGCAGCGAGTTGGACCCAGACCTTCGTGAAATGTTAGAACTGCAAAAGTAGTTAATAAATCATGCTTCCTCACTTGGGACATGTTCTAGGTGTGCCCAGCTGCAAATAACATCCTCTTAAATTCTCCAGTCCACAGTCTTGAGAGAGCCACCCTGGGGGCAGCTCAGCAATGTTTCCTTTTGGCTGTTATCTGGAGGAGAAATGCCTTTGCTGGATCTGTGAAGGCTGTGCCCAGACTCTAGGGACACCAGCAGGGAAGAAAATTACTTTTACATCTGAACCTGAAGATTAGACTTGACCTGAATACACTCATGAATTCTAAAAATGTTTCAATGACTAAGGATTCCTGATAACAGCCCACTGCCAATCTCAACATGCCATCTGAGGGAGGGTGCTTGTGCTATCACAGGACTTCCACAGGTGCAGCTAATGCTGAAGCACCCATTCAGCCCCAGGACTGGGGAATTTCCCCTTACCTGATAAGACTGACAAAGAATACAGGCAAGTTGAACACTTTCAGCCCAAGTTCTATTTATCAAATGATCAGCCTCCTGAGTAGCTGGGATTACGGGCGTGCACTCCTACACCCAGCTAATTTTGTATTTTTAGTAGAGATGGGGTTTCTCCATGTGGGTCAGGCTGGTGTTGAACTCCTGACCTCAGGTGATCTGCCTGCCTCAGCCTCCCAAAGTGCTGGGATTATAGGCATGAGCCACCGCACCTGTCCTCTTTGTTTTTTAAAGACAGGATTTTGCTCTGCTGTCTAGGCTGGAGTGCAGTGGTGTGATCATAGCTCACTGCTGCCTCAAACTTCTGGGCTCAAGTGATCCTCATGCCTCAGCCTCCCAAGCAGCTGAAACTTCAGGTGCATGCCCCCAGGTCCAGTTTCTTTTTTCCTTTTTCTTTTTCTTTCTTTTTTTGTAAGAGACAGGTTCCTGCTATGTTGTCCAGGCTGGTCTTTTGGAACTCCTACTTCGACCACCCAAAGTGCTGAGATTATAGGCCTGAGCTACTGCACTTGTGTTTTATACTAAATCCATATTTAAATGGATTTAAATATCTAAATCCATTTAAGAATCAAAGCTAAAGCACCACACTGAGATAACTCTGTTGTCATAGGATCAATACTAAGTGAGAAATCAGCTTTTTTTTTTTTTTTTTTTTTTGCTAACAGTACACATTTTCTCTCATAGAATACTATAATACATGAAGTTATAAACAGTGAGTGAGATGTCTCCACAGGGTTATTTCTTGGCCACACTTTAATAAATGATTTGGATCAAAGTTGCAAAAAGTATTCACACCATCTATAGCTAACGTGAAACTGGTGAGGCAATGTAAACTACAGTGGGCAAAACTGGTGTTTTAAAGAATCCTAATAAGCTACAGCACTGGGCTCAGTCTATTAAAATTTGCAAAAAAGGAATCTTTATACATATATGAAACTCTTACAATGGTTCTAAAAAAAAAAAATCACTTGTTTTAGTAAAGAGTTATGGGAAAGGGGATGTTTACTAGGGAATGATCTTAACAGTTGCCAAAGACCAGTGACATCTTTGGATTAATGTGATAGTAATATCTAGGTTGGGAAAGGAAATGTACTCCTTTTCCCTGCTCGAGATTCGTGAATAAAGGCACACTAAGCAGGGAAGACCTGAAGAATGCTGCAAGAAATGGGGATGGGGTCAGCAGGTCTATGGTCTGATTCTGCATGGGCTCCGAAGACTAAAACACTCCATATAAGGCCCTTTACAGAAAAAGTTGGCTAACCATGGCACTGTGGTTTTAATAAAAAGTTGCTCGGCTGGGTGTGATAGTTCACACCTGTAATCCTAGCATTTTGGGAGGCCAAGGCAGATGGATTGCTTGAGCCCAGGAGTTTGAGACCAGCCTGGGAAACATGATAAAATCCCATCCTACAAAAAATACAAAAATTAGCCTGCTATAGGCTGGTAGCATGCCCCTGCAGTCCCAGCTACTCAGGAAGCTGAGGTGGGAGGATCATCTGAGCCTGGGGAGGTCAAGGCTGCAGTGAGCCGTGAATGCACCACTGCACTCCAGCCTGGGTGAGAGTGATACTCTCTTGTTTCAAAAAAACAAAAAAGCTGCTCAATGAGGACTTACTTAAGGGTCAATTGTGCATAGCAGCAATTAGTACAGCTCTTGTGTTTTGGGCTAAAACATTCTCCAAAGTAAATAAACATTTTAGAGACAGGTCCAGCTTTTTGCTTCAGATGCATCAAACTTGGATATCAAATAACCATCACTCTTCCCTTCTTTTTTGAAAGAAAAAGGTGAAAAAGAGGGAAAAGTCTACTAAGTTTTTTGGATATAAGAAATGTGATCTGCTCTTGGTTCCAGTTCTAGAAATAAGGATGCAGGAGCAGGAGAAGTGTGAGTAGGAGCCCCCATATTTGGTCTCACTGTCAAAGCAAAAGTTCATCCTCGAGCCCTCCTTTGCCTCCACTAGAAGTAACCAATTTCCAGAGAGGGCACTGGTCATCCTTTCTGAAGGCACTTATGGAGCTGGCTATGGCTGGGAGGGGACACCAGCCCTCTGGTGCACTCTGCATCATCTCTAAGCAACCTCTTTGAGTTTGCCTTTGGAGAAAAAGCTGAGAACGATTTTGTAACACTAGATAACCCAAAGGAAAGTACTTTCTTAGGGTGAAGGAAGTACGGCCATAGATTTGACCACTTACGGAGACAGTGGAGCTAGGAGTGTTAGTTCCATATCCTGAAGAGGGCAAAGAGGCCAAAGACCAGCGCCGTCCATCAGTCCTGTATGCAAGAAAAAAGTATTAGGCAGTTTCTACAGGACTCTACCCTGACCCACAACCTGCCTGTCTGTCCATCAGCATTTTGGGGCAGCTGATTCACTGTAGGGCTCCTCCTTAAGACATTACTGGTCAGTCCAGTACATGCTTTTATTCCTCTCTCCTACAGAGGGTCTATTGTTGTTTTCCCTGCAAAGACAGATATCTCTGACTATAAAAGAGTCCATGACTTTGAATAACATAAGAACATCTGTCATAAAACACTGTGGTTTTGGAATAAATATTTTCATACTCTCAACTTACTTTCAGAGAAACAATGACAGAGGATTCCAGCTACAGGCATCTTCACAAGATAGAATTGCCACTGAAATACAGCTATTTCCATTTTGGAAGGCTCCACGTAAAGGGTTCTGTGGTCTTCCTCAGGCCACTGGCTGACAACAGGAAGAAGTGGACCACCGTCTGGGTCTGAACTGAGCATTAATCAATGGCAAATAGTTATAGGCTGCCTAGGAGCCATTAGGACCCATAAAACCAATCTTTGGGAATATTTGTCAAACAGCGATAGTAACTTTATGAATGAGATGGGAGGTAACATACCCTTGGCTGTATATGAGACTCTGGGGGAGGCTTTCTGCTGCTCTCAAAAGGATGCTCCCCAAAGCACTCATCAAAGCAAACAAACTAACCCCTCCCCCAGTTATTTCCTTTACTGTAGAGGGGAAAGATCAAGCAGATCTCTAGTTTGAAACATTTATAATATGAACATGTGATTCTTTGCCTGGACTGTGGGATGTAGTGTATTCTTTTTTTTTAGAGCTTGAAGGTACAGCCTCCTCTGGTTGAAGTTAGCTACAAAGTTTTTTTGTTGCTACTCGCAGAACCTTAGACTATCAGCAATGGAGGATCTTTGCAAGTTCATATTACAATTTATGGAGAAAACCACTAAGATTTGGGTGATTTGTTCAAGGCTTCATGGTTATGGTAGGGACAGGGAGAAGAAGCAAAAAGAGGAATAAATCTTGCTGGGGCTTCTCCCTTTGAGGCACTCCCCGCCACCCTCACCTATACCTAGCGGCTTTCGTAAGCTGAAGGTTTCATGCCACATGCACATGACTCAAACTTCATGCTACCCTGGTAGCAGCACATATAGGCTGTAACTCTGCTGGAACCTAGTCTCTGAGATTCAGACGCATCCAGGAAGGTACTCAGACAGGATGTTCTTTTTGACCTCTTTGCTGGGTCTTGGGAGCGCTACACAATAAAGCAAGTCCATTCCAGGAAAACAGATCAGCAAAGATGAGACAAGTATAACTCAGGAATGGATTTCCCAAACCTTTGTCAAATATACTTTTGCACATGTGAGTTTTCCTCCCCTTAGACAGAAATAGAAGTCAGTTGCATGGCAGCTATTTCTCTGTATGATGAACAGCAGGGGCCGCCAGAGTCAGGAACAAAATGCCACCACATGATGCCTTTATTTCCTCTATCTGGTCACCACGGTCACCTGAATGACTGAGGAAAGTTGTGGGAATAAGGGTGACTTGTCCCTAAGCTCAGAAGTTTGGAAATATTCAGCAATTCCTGCCTCTAAGCATATGAGCTCTGAGCCTTGATTCCAGCAGGTAGAGGGAGATCCCTTTGGGCCTCTTTGCAAGATAGGGAAGGCCCAATGTTCATATCCACAGTCACAGAAGAATCATCACAACCAGTTTTCACCAATCACAACATCACAAACCATACTGTCTGGCCATGCATAGCAGTTTCCCAGCCCCTCTTCCCATTATACCCTCTATTACCTGTCGGCTCTGTGGCTATGGCTGTAGTAAAAAAAAAATACACATTATAGTGAGAACCAAAGGAACCAGAGAGAGTGGTCTTTTTGAACCTTGGTATTTGGTCTAGCTTGGCACATTCCTTCTGTTTAGGAATGCGTGATAGTTTGAAGTGAAATTGTAGTACCAATGGGTCTATCCTCAGCATTTCATTCAATCTGTCTTTTGTTTGATATTGCAAACTAATGTGATTCTCCAAAGTGCCAGCCTGACCTCATAACCAGAAACAGACAATTCCCAATAAATCTGTTTGGCAGGGTTGAAACACTTCTCCCCACCCACACCAATAACTAGCAGCTTTTCCTACTATGTTCTATAAGAGGACAGCCCAGAGATCCATGTTCCATACACATGACTCAAATGTCATGCCATCTAGCACAGACCTACTTGGGTCTCAGCGGCAAAAATCAGGTCCTGAAGCCTCCTAGTTGGTTCTACTCATAAACCCAGGCAATGGAAGACACATGGTATCAATGGAACAGGCTGTTCCCTCTGCCTCGAATGGGTCCTCACACCTAACGTTGCAGCTGCTTCTCATTCTTCAGAGAGGCTTGACATGGCCATCCAGTGGAGATTCTCTGCTCTTAGTCTCTTCCTGTTCTTTTTTTGTTTTTGCTTTTTGGAGATAGACTCTTGTTCTATTGCCAAGGATGGAGTGCAGTGGCACGATCTAGGCTCACTGCAACCTCCACCGCTTGGGTCCAAGTGATTCTCCTGCCTCAGCCTCCTGAGCAGTTGGGATTACAGACCTGTGCCACCATGCCTGGCTAATTTTTGTATTTTTGGTAGAGACACGGTTTCACCATGTTGGCCAGGCTTGTCTCAAACTCCCGATTTTAAGCGATCTGCCCGCTTTGGCCTCCCAAAGTGCTGGGATTACAGGCATGAGCCACTGCGCCTGGCCCTCTTCCTGTTCTTTCATGCAACATCATGCTGTCCCTCTCTATGATGCTTGTCATAGTTTATAACCATATACTTGTTTGTCTTTCTCTCCTACTACTCATTGGTCTCCCCACCAGGGTACATAGCTTTCAACAAATGAAGGTATCTCTATTAAAGGTGATTTGATTGTGGTTGAAGTGAGACAGAAAATATGCAAATAAGAAAATATCAGGAATTGAAAAGTACTAGTTTGAAAATAAAACTGGATGATTTGATAGAGAATTACAAGGAGACCCCTTTAGATTGAATGTTTAGGGAAGGCCTCTCTGAAGAGGTTATATTTAAGATGAGACATGAATGGTAAGAATGAGTTACTTAAATGAAGAGCAGAGGGAATAGCATTCCTTACAAAGGAAACAATCAGTACACAGACTCTCTCACATCCTGAGTTTGAGGGAAGTAAGGACTATGTCTGTTTTGCTACTAATACATAACTAAGCACCCAGCTGACCACACCTGGCTCTAGTTAGTGGTGCTCAGCAAATATTTATGGAATGAATGAGAAATAACTCAATGCCACCTATGGGGATCTGGCCACAGGTCTTGCTGTCCCAGCTTGTACCTACTCTGAGACTACAGTTCATACACATACAGTCCAGGCAAGAAGTCTGGGATAAGTCTTTCCAGCTGGGTTGGAAAAAAAAAAAATGCATTAATTCAGCATATTCTTATACTATAAGTGATCTTAACTGGATCCTTGCTTAACAGATTGGAAGTTTCACAGGGTAGGAGAGATGAGCCCATGAAACAAACCTGGATAAAATTTATTTTGAATAAGGCAAGTGGGTTGATGAGGGGAAACCCAAGTCAGCCATCAAACTTCCCTCAACCTGTTCAAGTTCTTTTCAGCTACAAAGAATCCTGGAAAGAGGATCAATTTCTTTTGGGTTATCATTGGAACAGTGAGTTAACACTATTTCCAGGAGCCTCCCTTTTTCCTAATATGTCTTTTTAAAAAAAGTAATCTAAGTATTAAAACTGTCCTGGCTGGCCGGGTGTGGTGGCTCATGCCTGTAATCCCAGCACTTTGGGAGGCTCAGGTGGATGACTTGAGGTCAGGAGTTCAAGACCAGCCTGGTCAACATGGCGAAACCTCGTCTCTACTGAAAATATAAAAAACATTAGCTGGGCATGGTGGCAGGTGCTTGTAATCCCAACTACTCAGGAGGTTGAGGCAGGAGAATTCCTTGAACCCAGGAGGTGGAGGATGCAGTAAGCCGAGACTGTGCCACTGCACTCCAGCCTGGGGGATAAGAGTGAGACTTCATCTCAAAAACAAAACAAAACAAAAAAAACAAAAACAAAAAAACTGTCCTGACCTCCAGCTATATTACATTCTCCATCCCTTAAAGGTTACAAAGCTGGAACCATAATTTTCCTGCAGGTCTTATACCAGACTAACTCTAACCAAGAACAATTTTAAAAATAAAAAATAAAATATAGGCCGGGCACGGTGGCTCAAGCCTGTAATCCCAGCACTTTGGGAGGCCGAGGCGGGTGGATCACGAGGTCAAGAGATCAAGACCATCCTGGTCAACATGGTGAAACCCCGTCTCTACTAAAAAAATACAAAAAAAATTAGCTGAGCATGGTGGCACGTGCCTGTAATCCCAGCTACTCAGGAGGCTGAGGCAGGAGAATTGCCTGAACCCAGGAAGCAGATGTTGCGGTGAGCCGAGATCGCGCCATTGCACTCCAGCCTGGGTAACAAGACCGAAACTCCGTCTCAATAAAATAAAAATAAATAAATAAAATAAAATATAATAAATATAAGCCTGCCAAAGAATCTTAGGAAAGTCCTGACAAAAGCTGGGCCCGGTGGCTCATGCCCATAATCCCAGCACTTTGGGAGGCTGAGGTGGGTGGATCACCTGAAGTCGGAAGTTTGAGACCATCCTGACCAACATGGAGAAACCCTATCTCTACTAAAAATACAAAATTAGCTGGGGATGGTGGCGCATGCCTATAATCCCAGCTACTTGGGAGACTGAGGCAGGAAAACTGCTTGAACCCAGGCAGTGGAGGTTGCAGTGAGCCAAAATTGCGCCACTACACTCTAGCCTGGGCAATGAGCGACACTCCAGCTCAAAAAAAAAAAAAAAGTTCTGACAAGAAATCATGTGTGAAAAAACGAAAGAAAGAGAGAGAGAGAGAGAAAGAGAGAGAGAGAGAAAGAGAGAAAGAGAGAGAAAGACAGAAAGAGAGAAAGAAGGAAATCATGTGTGGTACAGAGCCTAGGTATGTGATTTGGATGGATTAATCTCATTCAGCTCAGATTTCTCCAAAGGCCTGATGATACTCCAGCCATACGCAGAGCTGTCAGTGTTGCTGCCATGGGCCAGAGACAGCTTTATATCATTCTGAAGAGGGGAGAGACATGAGAGGACTATAAGCATGGCTCTGTATGCACCAAATCTTTCTAAATACTTGGAAGGAAAAGTGAAGTCCCTGTAGTCTCTTTATCTGCCACACAAACTCCAGCTCAAAGTCAAGGAGAGAGGCACAGAGGGCCCTTCCAGCCCCTTTAAACTAGCTGGGTTAGAGGGGACGAAGAGAATAACTTTCGGTCCTCCTAGAGGTTATTTTCTCTTTGATCACTCTAGGATAGCTCTCAATTGAGAGTATAATGCTTCGGAACACACCCATAGGACATCAGGTACTAAAAAAAAAGTGAATCATAAAAATAAATCTACTTTTACTTAATATCTACTCTCCTGTTCAAACATTCAAACACAAATACATGGGGCACCTACAAAGCAAAACCAGAATACGATGATTACAACCTGGAAGAGAAAAGCAAAGAGAGAGTTTTGATGGATGGGAGCCTCAGGTAATACAATGGAATGAGTAGTGACACTTAAAGGAGGAATCTGACATTCAATTAACCCTCAAGCAAGTGCCACATGTGTTGGTCCCCGAGGTTTTCTATCAACTTACCTACGGGCAGGAACAAAGGAAAAGTGAGCAGGTGCATTTGGAGAGAAATTCCGGGGGCTGTCCAAAGGACTGTTACCTGTGGGTGGGAAAGGAAACAAAATTCTGTGAGGTTTGCTTTTGGGGAAAGCTGACATGACCTTCAGGCAAGAAATCTTCCCGTAGCACTGGCAATTAGTATATATGGTTATTTTCTCAGTCCCACTATCAGTTTAATGAGTCTCTTTCCGTAAAAGTTTTATAGCCCCGGTTTTCTCCCTTGTTCCAAAGTTTCCTATAACAACCCATGTCTCTCAGACATCCATTCTAGATCTAGCAGCAACTTGACTATTTCCTGCCCTCCTAGGAACACACCTGAGACTTTAATCTGTCTTGTCAAGTGAACCAACATTCAGAAGGCTTAATGAGTTCATTCAGTATAGAAGGTAGAGCCAAATGTTCATGCTTTCTCAAAGGGCAATAGGACCCTTAATCCAAAAGTTTCTTGCATATATATATCTGCAGTGTATCCAAAGGCTAAACCAGGAACATGTGTGCTTTAAGGGGAAAGAGAGGTTCTCAGGTAGGGACTCGGGATAGTAGTAACCCTTAAGATAGTTCATAATAAAGGCCCCCCAACTCTACAAAGCAAACCATCATTTCTTACTAGTTTTCACGTGTCCCTTGTAACTTAAAGCTCAGAAGCTTTGAACAAAACCCTATAAGTTTACTTTTTTGTACTAATCCCAACAGTTCTTAAACCTAAGCCTGCCATGCTTCTCTGGGCTATCTTCTAGCTGGGAGCTGGTGCATAGGAGCCCCTCACTGGCAGAAGTTAATATGACTCTACTCAAAAGCCCATATTGAAGTAAGCACCATACTCCATGCTGTGCTGGCACCCCTATAGCCCCTGTCCACCTCCTCACTTCTGTGCTTACCTCCCAGGGGCCTGGTACTTCAACATGCCCCGGCTTTTTCTTGGAGAGTATGTTTCCTGCACAGGGTAGGGATGTTCCAAGGTGCCCAAAACTTACCCCTTTGTTTCCCATTATCTCTATCCAACAGGGCTTATACAGCACTTAATGCCTTTTTATACTGATCTAGTAGAAACCAGTCTCTCAATCAGTGCCCCTACTACCCTATGCAGCAGCACTTCTGTATCAATTATATAATGGCATTATTTTTAATTGAAATAGTTAGAAAGAGGCATTTTCAGCTTGCTGTCACCACCAGGTGCATAAAATACACAACTTCATCCAGTGAATCTGCTCTCAACTTTGCGTGACCTCTAGGTTTTTCATGCTCTGTGTTAGGGTTATTGGTTATGACCTCTCCCCATCTTCTGGCTAGCGGGCACCAGGATCTAAAGGAAGTGATCCTGAGTAGCTACTTCCTTAGCCAGGAGTTAATTAGGATCAGGGCTCCTCAGAAGCATTAAGGCTTTTTTTTTTTTTTTTTTAAATTCTATTCTTTTCTGATAGTTTCATCTCATGCAAAGATTAACAAATACCCATAGTTTGATTCTTGGCATACAAAGTCAGATGCTGTTTATTGGTACCCAAAGCTACCCAGCTAAAGCCTCAAGGAGATGCCTGGACAGGAGCATCCGACAATGACTAGTCTTCCAAGGACTGGGCTGGTTACGGAGGCACAACGAATCTTCCGGGTACTCACAGTAGAGCTAGGGTTATGTAACACACACATGTCAGAAATAACTAACACCAAGAGGGAAAAGAAAAGTGGCAAAAACTAACTAAACAGCACCACTGCACTGTAAGACTTCAAGCAGAGGGAGGGGAAAGTGGGGGATACAGAAAAAAAGAGAGGAAGAAATAATAGCTGACAATTTTGCAAATTTGATAAAAAGCATATATCTATATGTTGTGTGACGGGTCCTTTACCAGATTACTTAGGGGTGCATATGTTCACTGTCTGAAACCTGAAGGCTAGGCCATGGCAATGGTACCCAGCTGAGGAGCAGGTATCCCTGAGAACCAACCAAACATCTCAGAGAGTATCTGAGAACCTCCCAAGAAAAACAGTCTCACTGTTCAAACACAGTAGACAAAGACCCAGGAAATTAGCTTAAAAGCAGTTTAGAGGGAGCCGGGCACATGCCTGTCATCCCAGTGTGGGAGGCTGAGGGGGGCGGATTGCTTCAGTCCAGGAGTCTGAGACCAGCCTGGGCAATATGGTGAACACCCCATGTCTACAAAAAAAAATAATAATAATTAAAAAAAACAAAAAAGCAGTTTAGAGACAGGAAGCAGCCTGGATCTCTAGAGCTGTCCTGCTGCCATCCAGGAATGCCCTGTATTTAAGTTTAATAAACTCATCTACTCATCAAGTTGAACTTCTCTGAGTCATTCTTTGGTCTCATGGTTCCTTCCCAGTTTAGGTGGGACATTTACAGTCATTTACAGACATTAAAGTTTTTCTTGTAACATCATAAATCTAAGAATCTCTAAGAACCCCAAACATGAGAAAGAGGAAGAGAATTACATCAAACTACATCATAGTCAAATCACTTAAAACTTAAACTACAGAGAAAAATCTTAGGAGTGGCTAGAGCTTGGTGGAGCTGGGTGAAGTGAGAAGATAGGGTGAAGTTAGAAGATACAGAGGAACAAAGGCAAGGATTATAGCAACTTCTCATTGGAAACAATGCAAGAAGATAGCAAAGCAGTATCTATAAATTATGGAAGATGTGGCTATTCTCCCGCCAACCTAGAATTCTAGACCCAGCTCTTGGGTAGTGAAGAATTTGACTGGCCTTAGTGTCCAGTTCCTGGGAAGAAGCCCCTAAATCCTTGGAATTTCCCAAGTGATAGGAACGCTTTTGTTATTCATGATGGGGCCTGATACTTTATTCTAACGATATAACTCAGGATGTGGGCTGGTCACACCTGAAAGACCAACCATGTGATTAGCAGGTTGGGGCTTTGAGGCCTGGTGCAGTGAGTGGTTTACGCCTGTAATCCTAGCACTTTGGGAGTCAGAGGTGGGTGGATCACCTGAGATCAGGGGTTCCAGATCAGCCTGGCCAACATGGTGAAATCCCGTTTTTACTAAAAATTCAAAAGTTAGCTGGGCATGGTGGAGCACACCTGTAATCCTAGCTACCTGGGAGGCTGAGGCAGGAGAATTGTTTGAACCTAGGAGGCAGAGGTTACGGTGAACCAAGATTGTGCCATTGAACTCCAGCCTGAACGACAGAGTGAGACTCTGTCTCAAAAAAAGAAAAGAAGAAAAAAGGAAAGGAAAGGAAAGGAAAGAAGGAAAGGGAAAGGGAAAGGGAAAGGGAAAGGGAAAGGGAAAGAAAAGAAAAAAAGAAAAGAAAAGAAAAGAAAAGAGAAAAGAAAAGAAAAGAAAAAAGAAAAGAGAAAAGAAAAGAAAAGAAAAGAAAAAAGTGGGTTGGGGCTTTGAGTCTGACATAAACCTGAAGTAGACAGGGGCTAGAGATTAAGTTCAGTCATGTGGCCAATGAGTCAATCAATCATGCCTATACAATGAAACCTGACTCTGGACACAAAGCTCCTGTGAGATTCCCTGCTTAATAATTTGTATGTACTGTTATACATCAATGTGCTAGGAGGGTGATGTATCCTGACTTCACAGAAAGAAGGCACTGGAAGCTTTGCATTTGGGACCCTCCCAGACCTTGTCCTACATATGTCTTCTTTGGCTGGACCTGCTTGTTATCTTTTTTGCCACAATAAAATTGTAAACCTAAGTATAGTGGTTTCCTGAACTCTGTGAATCATTCTAGTGAATTACTGAACTCAAGAGGTAGTAAGAAACTTCAAATTTGTATCCATTTTGTCAGAAGTATGGGTGACTTGGGAACCCCCAAACTTCTGCTTGGTATCTAAAGTGAGGGTAGTTTTGTAGAAGACTAGGCCTTTGTAAAGTGTGGCCTAATTTGGGGTAGTTAGTGTCAGAACTCATTGTACCAGCAAAAAAAAAATAAATAAATATATATATATATTTTTTTTTTGAGATGGAGTCTCACTTTGTTGCCCAGGCAAGGGTGCAATGGCGTGACCTTGGCTCACTGCAACTTCCACCTCCTGGGTTCAAGTGATTCTCCTGCCTCAGCCTCTGGAGTAACTGGGATTATAGCACACACCACCATGCCTGATTAATTTTTTGTATTTTTAATAGAGATGGTGTTTTACCATGTTGGCCAGACTGGTCTTGAACTCCTGACCTCAAGTGATTCTCCCACCTCAGCCTCCCAAAGTGCTGGGGTTATAGGCACGAGACCCTGCTCCCGGCCTCAGCAAGGATACTTTTTAAAGACAGAGGTAAAAAATAAATACTCTTTAAAACAAAAAAGTTAAATAAAATTCTCAACAGCAAACCACACTATAAAAAAATGTTTAAAAAATATCCTTTAGGCAGAAGCAAAAGGGAATATGGATCTGCATGAAACAATGAAGAGCAATGGGAAAGTTAACTACATGGAAAAAGATATATGACATTTTCTTATAATTTAAACTTCTTTTAAAAGCAGTAAATGTTTAAACAAAAATAATAGTGTGGGGTTTACAACACATGAGAACCAAAATTTTGAAAACAACTATATCAAAGCTAGAAGGGGAGAAATGGAAGATTCTTATCCTGTATGTGAAGTGGTATAATATTATTTGAAGAGTGATATGAGAGATATGTTAAATACATATACTATAAATGCTAATGCAAACACCAAACAAAAAAGGGTCATAGCCTGCAAGTCAATAAAGGACATAAATGGAATAAGAATACACACTTAACCCCAAATAAAGCAAAAAAGATCAAGGAAGAAGAAAAAAACAGATGGAATAACTAGTAAACAAATAGGGAGGTGGCAGACATGAACTACATCAACAACCACATTAAATTTTAATAGTCTAAATGCCCCAATACAATACTGAAGAAGAATAAGGTTAGAGGACTAATACTACCTGACGTCAAGACTCACTATAAAGTTATAGCGATCAAGACAACATGGTACTGGTAGAAGAACAGATACATAAATCAGTAGAACAAAGCAGAGAAACCAGAAACAGATCCATACAAATATAGTCAACTGATATATGACAAAGGAGCACCAGCAAT